TGCAGGGGGAGGGGATGCATGGGGTGGGGGTGCAGGGGGGCATGCATGGGCTGTATACACTGTTGCCTTGGCTCCCTCCAACAGAAAGGGAAAGGTCGGAGCCTGGGCCTGCCCCTACCCTGCTGGGTGTGGGGAATTCCCTGTGTGCCTTCTGCAAAGCCAACACGGGACTCCCAGCTGCAGAAGCCTGTTGGCTCCTGTTGGTGGGGAGCTGCCCAGCCCGGGCCCCTGTCCCTTGGCCAGGGTGGCTGGAGTGCAGCCGCTCCACCTGGACTTGGTGCACACAGTGACTCCAAGTCCAAATATTTCAGCACGAGCAAAACCTGGAGAAACCACTCGGCCCAATTCATGGCTATTGTGAGAAAGTTTGCGAAGGTGGCGAATTGCGACAGAGCTGCAGAAATTGCAAAGAACAAGCGAGTGGGCCAACCGAGATCTCAGGTGGGAACCTTTTTGCTGAATGCAGTGGAAAGAAGGAGGAGACGCCCAGAACGGACTGACTTTGGCTAAACATCTGTGATTGTTAGACTCAGACTCTGAGGATGAAGGTACTGATATTGCTGCATTGCCAAGTACATCAGAAGGAATCTGGATTCAGGTCAGCCAAAGACAAGGAGCAGGAACTATTATGTTTTTTTCAATCAGAAATGGTTTTGTAACAAAAACAACTCCAGAACTGAAACAAAAGAGTGACTGGAAAATTGCTAATTTTTTTATAGCTGTAATATTCCCTTTTCTGTTGTTGAGCATCCAACTTTTCAAGCAATGATCAGCTGCCTATGGCCAGATTACCAAGACCCAGTCAAAAGCAGGTAGCAGGTGAACAGTGAAATGCAGTTACTGATGGCTTGAGGGGTGGAAGCATGCAACAAATTACATGGAAAAGCAGTTACGTTATGGCTGGCGTAATGTGCACAACCAGTGATTGCTAACTGTGTGCAAATAGGGAAGACTGTGGTTCGTGCATCAGTGGTTGATACTGGATGGAATGAGAAGACTGGACAGTACTATGCTACACTGGCAAGAGAAGCCAAGGCATTAGCAAATGAACTGTACGGTTGCATTGTGAAGAGCTACATGACAGAAAACAAGAAAAAGATGCAAAGTCTGACGAGTGATTTGGAAGAAGATGACGGCACTTGGGTTATGTATGGATGTGCATCATATTGACTCAATCTACTTGGACGAGAACCTACACCAAGTACTTTGATGAAACGTTGTAGATTGACAAAAGCATTTTGGTAATCGCGCCCGGCCTGGAGCTTGGTTAAAAGAATGCCAAATCCCCAGTGACACGATGGAACAATCAGATAACATGCCTGGAAATGTATGTTAAAAATCGGCCATATTATCTCAGGATGATTTAGTTGGGGATTGGCCCTGCTTTGAGAATGGTCTTGCACTAGATGACCTCCTGAGGTCCCTTCCAACCCTGATATTCTGTGATTCTAGGATTTTGAGAAATCATGAGGCAGAATTTGAAGATAGAGCAATCAGTATAATTAATACTCAAGGAATTTACCAAGAAGTAAAGAACTTGATCGCTCAGTTGAAACCAGTTGCTGTGGCACTTGACTCACTCCAAAGGGACACACATCAACAGTTGCTGTTACAGGCGAAGTATGGTTGGATCTGCAGATAAATGAAGACCTTGCACCACATAAAGCAAAAGTACAAAAGAGAGGTCATGAGTCAATTACTCCTGTACACATGTTGATCAGCCTCCTTCATCCAAAATATGCAGGAAAGAAATCGTCAGCTGAACAAGAATATATTGCAAGGCAGTGGGTGCTCGGCAAAAATCCGGACGTTGTGCCATATTTACTTTCATTTAAAGCAGAAGAATCTCTGGATTCAAAAATCTACGTTTTCATCCACTATGAAGAAAAAGGATGGAAAAATCTGAAGGCTGCTGATAGTCCATCTAACGTCATAGAACGGGTGGTGCAATTGCATCAGTGCAAGTGCAGTAAGCATAGAATTAATTTTAAACTTTGGATACATCCATTCATAACTGAGGAATAGGCTCGGTCTATCTGCTGCATCAAAGTTGGTCTTCTGCTGCAGAATGCTGCATGGCCAAATGGGCCCAGACTGGTAGCCTGCAACTCTGCATGCTTCTGATTGCGTAATGCGTCAAGCCTTCACCTCTGCATTACTGTCGCTTTCATCTCCTCAAGTGGTTTTGATTATTTGTATAATATTGAAAACCGAAATGAGTCATGACCTGTATGATTTCCTTGAGGAAAATACCAAACCAAATTGGACACAGGCATTCTGACGTTCCTAATTACATCTATTCGTATTATGCCCAGTGCAGTTTTACTTTTTATTTGTACAACCCTAAATTAATCACTGAATCTACTGCCTTATGGAACCACAATTTGAATATGTAACTAAAACCAAGTATAAAGTGGTGTGCATTACTGAAACAGTGTTTAAAATGCCTTAAAGTGGGACTAACTAGTTTTTCCCAGGGAGGTAAAAACCATGATTTTACCTGGTTTAAAAAAAACACCTCTGATAAATACCATGCTATCCCTGGTGTGCATGGGGGTGGAGGAAGGGATGGGTGAGTGTACATAGCAGTGATTGGGGGCGAGATGGGGGAGAGTGCATGGGGATGAATGGGTGGAGGGATAGGAGGGGTGGGTGTTCATAAGGGTGGCATAGTGTGGTGGTGGGATGGGTGGGGATCATGGTGGTGGATGGTTGTAGCAATGGGGCGTGGCATGGCAGTGGGTGAGTGGAGGCATGGGGAGATGTGGGAGGAGGTGCATGGTGGTGGAGGGGATGGGTGAGCAGGCATGGTAGTGGATGGGTTCTGCTAGGGCTGCTGTGAAGGGAATCCAAGACTTTGTGCTCGGGATCCCTGGGGTCTTTCAAACACCCAGAGCCTGAACAGAGTCCAGCTACTGCCCCAATCTCAGGGTCCCTAGGCACACACTCAGAGCACCGACCTGCTATCTGACACCTCCCTGTGAGTGTTGGAACCCACTGTCCAGCCACCTACCCTCTCTAGGCTCCCCAGTACTTGAACTCATCTGTCACAGACCCACGGGATCGGTGCTAGGCCCCAGTTTTTAAACAGTGCTTGGAACCCTTCAGTGCACCAGACCTCCAAGGGGTCCCACTCTTCCTTCAGGGCAGGCCCCCTGGCCTCACTGCCTCTGAGATGGAGCTTCTGGCCTCCAGCCCCCTTGCTCCACCCAGTGAGCTCTGCCCTGCGAGCTGACGTGGCCGTGGTTCGGTGAAGGGCAGCTGGCCTCAGTTGTGCTGTCCTCTCGCTCTCTCTGCAGGGTGTGATGTTCCCTGCCCTGCACCATCTCCGCCTGGGCGCCCGCCCCACACTCGGTGCCACGCGGGCAGGTGGCTCTCCCCGGGGGTACCTGTCCCAGGAGAACGAGCAGCGGTGCCGAGGGCTGCTGGAGACCTCCACCAGACGCTACCGGCAGGAGGCGGTGGCAGCGGCTGTGCTGGTGACACTGTGTTCTGTGAGCGGGTACCCTGCGCTGCTGTACACGCTGCGCTCCAGCACGCTGACGGGCCATCACAAGGGAGATGTCAGGTACCCCGGCCCTCGACTCACTGAGTGCCCTGCTGCCCTGCTCCCCAAGCCCTACCTCCACTGCATGCACAGCGGCCGGTGCCCCTCAATTCCAGCCTGAACCCCCTGCTATCCCAGCCCTGGGCTCCCCCCAGAGCTCTGCTTGTGCCCCTCAGACCCGACCCACAGCCCCTGCCATCCCAGCCCTGGGCTTCCCCTAGAGCTCTGCCGGTGCCCCTCAATCCCGACCCACAGCCGCTGCTATCCCAGCCCTGGGCTTCCCCTAGAGCTCTGCCGGTGCCCCTCAATCCCGACCCACAGACCCTGCCATCCCGGCCCTGGGCTTCCCCTAGAGCTCTGCTTGTGCCCCTCAGACCTGACCCACAGCCGCTGCCATCCCAGCCCTGGCCTATCCCCACCCCTCCCACAGCTCTGCCGGTGCCCCTCAATCCCGACCCACAGCCGCTGCTATCCCAGCCCTGGGCTCCCCCTAGAGCTCTGCCAGTGCCCCTCAGACCCAACCCACAGCCGCTGCTATCCCAGCCCTGGGCTATCCCCACCCTCCCACAGCTCTGCCGGTGCCCCTCAATTCCAGCCTGCAACCCCTGCTATCCCAGCCCTGGGCTCCCGCCAGAGCTCCGGTGCCCCTCAATCCCGACCCACAGCCCCTGCTATGCCAGCCCTGGGCTACCCCCACCCCTCCACAGCTCTGCTGGTGCCCCTCAATCCCAGCCTTGGGCTCCCTCCCACCCCCCTTTACAACCCTACCGGTGCCCCCTGAATCCTACCTACATGCCCCTATTATCTCAGCCCAGAGCTACCCCCACACACCTCTGCCGGTGCCCCTCAATCCTGACCCACAGCCCCATTATCTCAGCCCAGGGCTCCCCACCCCCCAGCCCTACCGATGCCACTCAGTCCCACCTCACAGTCCCCTGCCATCCCGGCCCTGGACTCTCCTCACGCACAGCCCTGCCAGTGCCCCTCACTCCTGACCCGCAGCCCCTGCCATCCCAGCCCTGGGCTCTCCTCACGCACAGCCCTGCCAGTGCCCCTCACTCCCGATCCGCAGCCCCTGCCATCCCAGCCCTGGGCTCTCCTCACGCACAGCTCTTCCGGTGCCCCTCCACCCCCCCGTTGTTTCAATAGTTAACGGAAGCTCTTCTCTGCAGTGCTGTGATAAGTATGTGCCCCTTTCGCCAGTCCCTGAGCGTCCGGTGCCAGGGTGGAAGAGGCCCCTCCTGCCTGGCACGGCGCCTGGGGCAATGGATCCTGCCTGCCCTCTAAGGAGACTCTGGTTTTCTTGCTGCAGTTTCCCGGGCGGTAAGCGCGACAGCTCCGACCAGGATGTGGTCGCCACAGCGCTGAGGGAGACGCAGGAAGAGCTGGGCCTGCACTTGGGGGCTGAGAGCGTCTGGGGGGTCATGAAACCCCTACCCACTGGGGTAACACCACTCCGCTCCCCTAGCAGTGTTAGGGAATCACTGGGGCAGGGCAGTGTGAGGGAAGGGGGGGCAGGTGTCTCTCTAGGGCAGGGTCCTGTGAGGGGAGCGGGGGATCACTTTGGGGCAGGGCGGGTTTCTCTGGGGTGGGATCATGTGGGAGGAGTAGCATGAAGGGTGGGGTGTTGCTCTGGAGCAGGCATGGGGGGCAGCCATGTGAGTTGGGGTCCCCTTGAGGCTGAGGTCCACTGGGTGTGGTAATGTGAGGGGAGGTGCTATGAGGCAGGAAGGTTCTTTTGGGGAGGGGGTGTACTGCACAACAGGGAAGGGTCCTATGGGGGGGTGCACTGTAAGGTGGGGATGTCCCATTGGCAGTGTCTCTGAGGTGGGGTGTGTCCCGGGGTGGGGCGCTGTGAGGTAGAGGGCCATAGGGGCGTCTCAGAGGAGGGAGGCTACTGTGAGATGAAGGGGGAGATGCTGAGATGGAAGGCCATGGGGGGATCTCTCTGAGGTAGGGTGAGTCCTGTGATGTGGGGGTGGTGAGGCAGAGAGGCTATCGAAGGGGGCCCTCTCTGAGGAGGGGGAGATTCGGGGGGGGGTCAGCATTGTGAGGCAGAGGGTCTATGGGGGGTCATCTGAGGAGGGGAGAATTCAGGGGGTGGTGCTGTCAGGAGGAGGGTCCATGGGGGGGTCTCTCTGAGGAGGGG